TTCTGGATATGTCTGGACTGCAGAGGCGATCATTTGTGAAGGAGAAATCACTATGCTACAACTGCTTGCGACCTGGTCATGGGGTCAACAGGTGCAAGTCAACATACAAGTGCAGGCAATGCAAAGGCAATCATCACTCCCTTCTTCACGTCCAATCGAAAACACAGGCTAGTGGGAATCTTGCCCAGATAGCGGAGGGGGACGAGCAAAACTTAAGCGCTTCTAACACAAACTCAGTGACACTCAGTCATTTGGCCCAAGGAGCGGGCACCCAAAAGGTTGTATGTGCACAAGGCACTGCAAAATCTACACATCAAACGGAATTCAAACGAAGCATATTACCAACGGCTATGGTGTATGTTAAAAACGCAAAAGGTGACCACGTAACATGCCGTCTTCTATTGGACACAGGATCAGAGCTATCTTATGTATCTGAGCGTTGCATTCAAGCTCTCGGATTGACACGGTCGGCATCACGCATTTTGGTTACGGGAATCTCTTCCGTAAAAGCAGACACGACAAGGGGATGCAGCACTCTGCAAATCAAGTCTCGCATATCCGATGATCGTTTGGTTGTCTATGCCCACGTGCTAGGCAGAATCACCTCATCTTTGGAACGCCAAAATATCGACGCATCGACACTCGAGGTATTTAAGGATCTGCAGCTGGCGGATACACATTTCAACGCAAACACACCAGTAGATATACTATTGGGAAGCGAACACGTATGGTCAGTGTTCACAGGACGAAAGATGTACGACAACAAGGGTAATCTTATCGCTATTTCGTCGGTATTCGGATGGGTAATCACTTCACTCATCACATCGAACGCAAGCAACGCTATTGCTCTAACCACAACAATGGATATCGACAACACGCTTCAGAAGTTTTGGGAACTGGAGAACGTTCAAAGCAACACAAAATTGGAACCGGAAGACGATCAGGTCGAGAAGCACTTTCTCGCCACCCACAGCCGCGATGAAAACGGGAAGTATATCGTGGAACTTCCATTCAACACGGAATGTCCTGAATTCGGAGAAACTCTACATGGAGCTCTCAAACGTTTCAAATCGGTGGAGCGACGACTACAACAAAACGAGCAACTGCGGACACAGTACGAATACTTTATGCGAGAGTATATCAACCTGGGACACATGCGTGAGGTGCCGCCAGAGGAAATCGCTACTGGGAATCACTTCTTTCTTCCCCACCACCCAGTGCTAGGCCGAAAACTGCGAGTGGTCTTTGATGGATCCTTTCGCGACGCTAATGGTAAGGCCTTAAATGAAACTCTTTTCACAGGGCCCAGTATCCAACGCGATCTATTTGCTGTGTGCCTACGCTTTCGAATGTACAAGTTCGCATTCTCAGCGGACATCGTGAAAATGTTCCGCCAAATATGGGTAAACGAAAAGCACAGAAACTACCAGAAGATCGTTTGGAGAGAGGATCCATCCGATCCGATCAAGCATTTCCAATTGTGCACTGTAACCTACGGAACGTCATGTGCACCATTCCTGGCGGTACGAGTGCTGGAACAACTCGCTGTGGATCATCAAGACGAATACCCGAATGCTTCAAAAATCCTACTGGAGGATTTTTATGTAGATGATGTTCTTACCGGGTCAAACAATGAGGATGAACTACGTCGAAACCGAGACGAGTTGATTCAGCTGATGTCGTGCGCAAGTCTTGAACTCGGGAAATGGGTATCAAATACATCAATCATACAAACGGATGATACCAACGCACAATCGTCGCCAGTTAAGGTTCTCGGACTATACTGGGATCCTGGAAAAGACATTCTAACGTACAACATTGGTCTAGCAGCAAATCCTGACTGCACAAAGAGACAAGTCTTGTCCGACGTCTCCAGGATATTTGATCCTCTCGGACTCTTGGCACCCATTGTAATCCAATTTAAGATTATTTTCCAAAAACTCTGGCTCTTAAACTTGGATTGGGATGACCCGCTTCCAACTAAACTAGCGGACAACTGGCTGAAGTGTAGAGAAGATCTAGACACTCTACAAAAATTCCAACTACCACGCTTCGTTGCCAACGACGCAGACAATATCGAACTTCACGGATTTTCGGATGCCTCAACCAAGGCGTATGCTGCTGTGGTGTACAGCAGAGTTACAAATGACGACGGATCCATCTCGGTGTCCCTTGTGGCTGCGAAGACAAGGGTGGCGCCACTGAAACAACAATCTTTGCCACGCCTGGAGCTTTGCGCAGCACTTCTTCTAAGCCAACTCATTCGTTCGATCTCTTCTGGATTACGCCACAAGAACATAACTGTTGTTGCCTGGTCCGACTCCTCAATAGTGCTCTCCTGGTTATCCTATGCACCAGCCCAACTAAAGACTTTTGTTGGAAACAGAACCTCGGAAATCCTTGACACTCTTCCCAGGAAGGCCTGGCGGCACGTAGACTCCAAATCAAACCCAGCTGACTGCGCTTCCAGAGGTCTGATGGCTGCTGACCTCATCGACTTCCATTTGTGGTGGAATGGACCTTTGTGGCTACGGGACCAAGACCAATACCTGGTAAAGTTGAACGATTCACGTTTTGGTTTATCTCTTTCAGACAAACGCATTCAAGGAGAAGTCAAGTCCAACTGTTTGGCTACAGTGGCTGTTGCAACTCAGGTTCATCCACTCGATGAGCTGATCGCACGAGTTTCTTCTTGGCTCAAGCTCGTTCACATTGTCGCCTATGTGAAGCGATTCATTCAACGCACACAAAACCCGTCCAGCGATAGGGCGTCAAGTGCTCTTACGTTTGGAGAGATTAAGGCAGCTAGGATCATCTGTATAAAACACGCGCAGCATTGTTTCCACGAGGACTACCAAATGCTCCTTGCCAAGAAACCCCTAAGGAACCGATCGCAGCTGGTCAAACTTGCACCAATGATCGACGAAAACGATTTGCTGAGGGTAGGCGGAAGACTGCACCAATCGCAGTTGTCACGAGAGGCAAAACACCCAGTTTTGCTACCAAAAACGCACCGAATCTCGAAGCTGATTCTGGAACACGAGCACCGAGTAAATCTTCACCCTGGCGTTTCTTCCTTGTTTGTAATCGTTCGTCAGAGATTCTGGATACTTGGAGCACGTAATCTCATTCGCAGAATCACACACGACTGTTTATCCTGCTTTCGTCAACGCCACCACACCGCCCAACAACAAATGGCTGATTTACCCAGCGTGCGTGTCACTCAAGCCCTTCCATTCGTCAATACTGGTTGCGACTATGCAGGTCCAATCCTTCTAAAGGATGCCAAGGTTCGGAAGCCACGTATTAGCAAGGGCTACATTTGCCTGTTCGTCTGCATGGTCACCTCGGCCATACACCTGGAACTTGTCACAGACCTGACAACAGAAACCTTCTTGGCTGCCTTGCGCCGCTTCATATCCCTACGTGGCAAGTGTAGCAAGATCTACAGCGACAACGGAACTAACTTTATTGGAGCTAAGCGATCCCTCAACGAAATGCAAGAATTGCTTGCATCACAACGACATAAGGACATCGTCACATCCACTCTGGCAGATGACGGAATTCAGTGGGTACTCATTCCCCCCAGAGCTCCTCATTGGGGAGGGAAATGGGAGTCGGCAGTTCGCTGTGTCAAACTGCATCTGCGCCGAGTCACCGGCAACTCAACGCTCACCTTCGAACAAATGCGAACCTTGCTTGCTCAAATCAGCGCAGTGATAAATTCACGCCCCTTGTGCTACACATCGGATACCGAAGACAACTACTTATCACCCGCCCACTTCTTAATTGGGCGACCGTTAACAACCGTGCCAGATCCTGACTTAAGCCACATCCCTGTGGGCCGAATAGGATATTGGCAAAGCATCCAGGCTATGCTTCAGGGATTCTGGAAACAATGGCATCAGGAGTATCTGACTACTCTGCAACAACGTCCGAAATGGACCACTTCAACACCCAACCTCTCGATCGGTGATGTAGTTCTCGTTAAGGAGTCTAATACACCACCAGCATCTTGGCACATCGCACGGGTAATGGAAACCTATCCAGGGAAGGACAACCTCGTTCGAGCAGTCAAGCTGAAGACATCAACAGGAGAGATGACCAGACCAATCACGAAGATTGCCGTTTTGCCCAGTTCAGAAACTGTGTTTCAGGGCGGGCCGGGATGTTCCTGAACGGTTGCAGTCTTTACTAATCTCTCATTATTAGGCGCATAATGCCATCTCTATCCTATGTAATATAATATCGATATACATATATATATATACCATTTTTCGATTCTGGCAACGCTGCTACGACAGCGTCTTTTTGTGAAATTCATACCAGTATCAAATAGGCTTCGAAACCGTCAAGAATAAAACTACATACAGTCCACACAAATCGTTTATATTTCTAACCAATATTAACAAATAAAAATAATTTAGAGTTAGGCTTCATACAATTTGAAAATGTGAGTGCTTTGCAGAACATAGTTTTATGGGCGTTTGTAGGCTTTAGATGGGACGTGGGACTTACGGACAAGGCTAGATCAACTTGGCTAGTGAATTATCCTGATTGAGTACTATATATACTTTGTGCGATCGGAAAATAATTGTTCTACCCGTTACATACAGTTTTTATGCTAGAATACAAACTTTAACTGAATTGTATACTCTACCATTACCTATTAATTAACAAAAAAAATGTGGCCACGCTCACTCTAATAGCCACAATTTTAACGCCAGAATACATTTTTTTTCAGAAATGTATTGGTTAACCAAAACCTAAAATAAACTTTTCCGCCCACAAGCCTCCAAAAACCGTGGACTTTTATTAAAAATGTACACGCGAATTCATCGACCCAAAATATGACTTAAATAGCGATATCGCGGATTTTTATATTTCAGGTACATTGGTGTTAATTTTAGTGAAAATTTTTCTTCAAGATTCGTACAGTAAAGAAAATAACCAGGGACATAACAGCAGGACAAGATACAATAAATTATAAGAGAAAATGGTTTAAGCACTCAAGCACATTTATTCTATTTCTAAATAACTAACAGTCCGATTTTAATGGGCATCCAATAAGCCCTTGGCATCAAGAACGGGTAATATTGTGTCAATTCTTCTCTGAATCTCTTCATTTTCATACATCGAGTCCTGGAACTTAATGCCCCCAGGAGTGTCCTGATAGAGATTTATGAACTCGCAGTCCTCGCTGCCTGTATATACCATGATCGGTTGGAATACGTTTGCAATAATTACACCTGCGAAAGAAAAATACTTGTTTAAGTCAGGTCATAGGTATGCGTTATTCAAAACCTACTTAAGAATCGACGTCTCTCGAATTGGAGCTGATACTCAAACAGGCTTGGAAAGAGCCCCTTGTAAGAAAGTGCATCCAAGGTCTTCTTCAAAGCGTAATATGGTACTGCACAAGCTCAAGCTCCTTCGCCTTTACATCGATCTTTAGCGAAGTACTGAAGAAGTAATGCAAATCGACCACCGGGGATGTTACGGTGCTGAACTGGAAGTCAATGGGCAGGACTGTAGTGGGATTGCCCTCATCATCGTACAAATACATCACATTTGTGGTCCAGCAATCGCCGTGAACTAATGTCTGCAGGTCCTTCTCTCCCACGTCCACAGAGCGGGCGGCGTAATCCATTAAATTGGTAAGTATTTGCTCCAACTTGACTGCGTAGCGGTTCTTCAGACTCGGCTTGGTCCTGACATACCTGATGAATGCCCTAAACAGACCCACGAAGACCTCCCCGTAACCCTTTTTGCCTCTTGAGAAGAAGTGCGATGAGTAGTTCCGACTCAGAAGATCAGGCTCGCGTTGGTTCAGAACAATAGCTGCGGCATGGAACTTGGCCAGCATGTCCAAAACCAGCTTGGTGTGAACCATGTCCAGTTGCTTTACTCTGTCCGCATTCGTGTATCGAAGGGGCGCCAGATCCTCGAGGATCATGATGGTGCGTTCCCGATCAACGACTATGGCCTCCGCCATCAGTTTTTCGTTGAAGCCGGCCTCTTGAAGAATCTTGGCCATTTTAGGCAGGACAATGTCGTACATCTCCAGCTCCCTGTTGTAAACATCATACTCCGCGAAGATATTCGCCTGGGGAGCATCCGATGGAACGGCTTGCTTCAAGATATAGGAGTTCTTTAGCTCCGCACCATCTCCCTGCACAAAGTCCACATAGATTCGGGTCATAACGCCCACAAAGTTCTCCCCTTTCTCCGTTGCTGGCTTGGCCCAGACTTTCTGGACTCGCAACTGATCGTCCTCGTGAAAGCGCTGTAGTGCCTTCTGGATATACTCCTCCGTTAACCATTCAGGTAGCATGGTGACTGCAATCTGACGAACATGAGCTCACAGCATCTGGACTAACATTTATATTCAGTCCAAACCTTGGTCTTATCAGTAAAGCCTGTTAATAGGCACGATAAGCAACGTAACCCTATTAGATGCCGGAGCTAATTACTATATTGTCTCCTTTAAATCAGTTTTCTGTTCATCTGTACAAACGCGAGTGCAGCTTTTATAGCCAGAAATCATGACTGGCAGATTTAATCTTTCAAGTCATCCAAGTAACGTTTTATAGATGTGCTTTTTTTAATCCCTAGGGTCGTTCTTTTGTCCGTACTGTAAATTTTCTTTAAGCTGATGTTTGGACAAATTTTAACAGACGATTAGTCGGTAATCACTTTCTTGCCCGCACTTGAAAGCCCTTTATGTCAGTTCTAACCACAAACTTCATTGATTGGAGGGCGTTAGAGAGGTAGGCGCGTTAGAGTGCGCATGACACTTTACAAAAATTCGATGCGCAGGAATCCCTAGAACCTGAAGACTTTCAAAAATCACCATTCATACGAAAGGATAGACGAACGGACAAACAATTATTTTTTTTTTAACTTACAATTAAACAAGAACATCTCTTAACAAGGTAAGAAGTCGTGACGATCGCACCTTCAACATAAAAAGTTCTGATATAACATTTTGTGACGAAAAATGATTGTACATTCGACTAAATAAATACACTTTCTGAAATTTTTTTATTCTGCCCGCTTCAGCAAAATATATAAGCTTCACGCATTCAAAGGTATTTTCAATTGGAGCGTGCCGAAGGAAAACATTTAGAAAGTGTATTTACTTAAATAACATTACAGTAGATTTTCATTTCTTCGTGTATATATAGTAGTCCCCTTCGCACACTCTCCTGGTGCGCTTCGTTACAACGTGGACGGCCGTCCACAGTGATAATATGGAAATATTTACATGAAATTTTTATTTTGTTTGTTTGACTTATGAAAAGGGAGTGGCACTCAGGCGCAAAAACGTTACGTTCCCTAATCTTTATTACAGTTTAATTTCAAAACCAATAAATTTCGTATACTTCAAGTAGTCTTAATTTACAAGTTACAGATTAATGTTTATTTGACTTAAGATCATGATGCAGTTTAATAGCGTTGACGAATAATAAACTTTTAAGATCTACTCGTTCATTTAGATTTTCAAGCTCGAGACTTAATCATACACGTGAAAATGCTATTTGAAATTGTAAATAAAAATTTATTGTGATTTTGTTTGAAAAAGCTATGTAGATTTATCATAGTCTCTCAGTAATAAAAATAAAAGTTTCGGCCTTGTCTTTTACAAACGAAAAGTAACTTAAATACCCTTCAATATCTTCAATACCAATTAAATATTTTTATAAACAAACTCAAAATTTACAGATACGGAAACCTTTTATATATGAGGATGTTATTGATGATAAGCATGTTAAGGAGTTAAATAGTGCTCAAGGTACTATGTTACCATAGTTTAAGAGGCCTGACGCAACGCACTTTAATCTCGATTTTCTCGAATCCAAGTCTTGGAAATAGGTAGACACGATACCTCAACAAGAAGAAGCGCTAAAGTAGGGTCTCTCGACCATCAGATACCCGATACTCTGTTTCAACTTTCAAATGAACTTAAGTTCCAGTGCATTTCTATTATCGCGGCACACTCCATCGGTGGAGTATAAAGTGCTGACTTTTGGCTCAAAACCCATGTGTAACTTTTTAAATAAACTACCCAGCTAGATAAAAGGCTTGTGTTTTTTAATGTTTCAAGTCTCTGACTTTTTCAGCTTACCAGCTTAACTGCAAAGGTCATACATTTTGATTCCATTCGATATCACCCCTTTTCATTCCTACTAAAATGTATACATAACATATATGGATATATATATATTTATATGTATATTTAGCAATTGTTGGCACTAAAGTGCAGCGTTTTGTTGGCTTCGCATCATGCCATAAATAAGAGCAAACAGATGAATGTGCGCACTGATATTTGCCCGGCTAAACCATTAACATGTGTAGTCAGGAGATAGCAGCCAGTTGGCCCGAACTGGACTTAAGTGGCATTAGGTGTTCCTGGGCCGGCGAATTAAGCCTATTGATTATGGGGCGTGCGTAGTTGGTTGGTTAAACAATTGGCATGGCTTCTTGCGAGTCCGAACCAAATTGTACTGCAAACAAAGGCAGGCCTCTGATAAGAAGCTGGTAAACATCGGGCCAAAAAAGCCGCCCGCACATAATATTTTCATTCTGCGCCAGCTGTTCGAGGGGAAGAGTTAGAAGGGCGTGTTTGCTTGCGGCATAAACAAAACGCAAAAATAACACATAAATCTATATTGGAAGCCAATGTATCTCATTGTATTTGTCAGCTGAGAAATTATTCGTTGAAATTTATTAACTTATGAATCGATAATGTTGACAACGGAGATGACAATATTTTTATAACCGGTTCTCTTAAGTAAAAGGGTACATTAGATTTGTCGGAAAGCAATGTAAAGATTAATATAAAGTAATAATATTCTTGGTCAGGAGCACTAACCTAGTCGATGTACTAGATCTACTATCTTTTTCGAAATGCCCTGGAACTTGATTTTATTTGGAACAGAGTAACGGGTATCTCATTGTCGAGACACTCGTCTATAGCATATCTTCTTGTTTCTTTCTATATCTTACCAGAAACTAAAAGGCGCAGCCGTCTTAAATATGGGAGAATCCATAAACTTTGTAATCGCATTCTTCCCGGTTTTTGACACCCACCCTCCCTCATATAACCAAAGACAATCAAAATATACTTCTTTATTCGTTTTACTTATTATTCTAATTAAAAAATACCAAAATATAAAGGCAAATTAAATGGCAACAACTAAGAAACCCTTATATTTTAGTAATCTTTGATTTTAATAATAAAATCGAATCATCCTTTTCTGAACCATTCGAAGCTTTCATTTAACATGCATTTAATTTTTTCCTCATCTTCATTGTTAAATGTACAAACATTATATAAATGAGTACGAGTACAAGCAGGTATAAAAACTTCTGGGGCCACTGCAGTGAGTTCCTAGTACGCTCTCACTTTTTGTACGATGTTTGTTTGTTAAAAAACTGATAATTAAAATCTCCGAGTGGATTTCACGGAAGTTGCTAGACTTTCTGGCACAATTCGTTGTGAAATGAATTTATCTTAAACAAACACATAAAATTGTTATTTTCATATTTTTCAGCCATAGGTGCAAACGTAAGTTGGCCGTCATTGTTCTTTCAGCATTGTTGTAAATTAATTCCATAATATAAATGGTATCATAAAATCTAAAACTATTTTGATCATACATGCAGCACACATTCTATTCCGCACCGGATAGTTGCAAACATATTCTAGTGCTGGGCGTTAGTGAGCGTATTGATTCGGCCAAATTGAAATGGCTTCTTGGAAGGTAAATCCCCATTGTTTTGTAAACAAAGGCAATGGCTCTGATAAGAGCCCGGGTAAACACGAGGGTCCATCGTCACTCTCACGTTTTGTTTTTATTTTTATGTGGTTGTTGGCCAGTGGTGTCTGTGGAAGTGCTTGTTTGCTTTCGTCATAAACAAATTGCTTTATGCTTTTACGGGAATGGGATGCCGTGGTTAATCCGAGAGGCCAGTGGGGAAATTATCTCAGGACAGATCTATTAAACTTGTGACATCACATGCACGGAAAATAAGATACTAATAAAACGGTAGAGAAAATCGTCCGAAAATTGGCTGCAAGTTTAGATTTGTATATGTTCGTCTAAAAGAAATATTTATGTTTTGACTACGCGTTGTGTTGCCACTGCATCAATATTTTATTCAAAAAATTGTCGACTGTTTATGTTAAACGAAAGTTTATCGTTGCATCAAATATCCATATATTTGCGGTCGTTGCACATGTGTTATATGCTGTTGCATTTATCTTTCATGTTCAAATCAGTGAAATGTTTGTTTTAAAGCAACGTTTCCATGATAATATTTGTGAAATAATTGCGATTTTGCTGATTTTAATCTTCCAAAATACTTTCTCTTCGTTTAAGCAACATGTTCTGAGTTTATTCGTTACCAATTGTTCAAAATAAACACTTTTAAAATACTAGACAACAGAAACAAATAAAAACTCTGTTTCGTTCAGGTTTGCTCATTAAAAAAAATAAATACCTTTATTAGGATACAAATAGATTACCTAAGCTAGTTACGGCTAGTACGACGACGACGAGAAACAATTTACTAGGTTTCGATAATGGTGGCACAAGTCCATTTGGTTTCCGCGAACCCTACTGTAGTCGCTTGCTGATCGTGTCCAGGTGGTTGTGGCCGTGGTAGGCCTTACTCGTGGCCCAGTCCTTGCTGTAGCTGTTGGCCGCCAGCTCGTGGTTAGCTCCGGAACCGGAGCTGTAGGGATTGTACGAGCCGGAGTAGCTGCTGCTGCCCACGAACTGTGAGTAGTCCGAGGGCTCCGACTCGTACACGTGCGAGTGCGTTTGCACCAGGTGCGGGTGGATCTTGCACATGGTCTTGTACTTGAGGTAGTGGATCAGCCAGCCCACGCCGCCCACCAGCAGCACGTTCATGCCCAGCACGGCCGTCAGCATGCCCACTACGGCCATCTTCAGGTGGGCGATCTTCAGCAGGATGATGAGGGGCAGGATGATGAGCCACTTCTTCTTCTTGCGGGCCAATCGGGCCTCTAGGGAGTTGGTTTTGAGTTAGATCTGAATAGCAATTGGTAGTTGGTCAGGACCCACCAGATTCCTCCAGGACCCGCGCCCCGCTCTCGCCGTTCAGCCTCAACTGCAGTCCGTGGTTGCGCCCGAAGGTCTCCGCCGCCCTCTTCAGGAACTTGAGAACCAGCGTCAGCTCGCTGTCACCTGCAAAGCAAACAGAAGCGGAGAAACGCAAGCCAGCGGCTATAAATCTTCTCTCAAATTCGTATTCGAATTAATCTACAGCCGGATGGGTGGTAAACATCCGCCGGGGGGCATCCACTCGCTCTGGACACTGACCAGGCGCAGGTGATCAATTAGAGTCCGCCTGCAAACAACTTTCGACTGCGCGGACCCACCTTCCAAGCTCTTGGCGTCGTTGAACACGACCACCTCGTCGGCGGGTTCCCCCAACTGGACCAATCTCAGCCAGCGACCCTTGTCCGCGGCCAGGTCGCGTCCGTACTCGCTGGGGAAGAAGCCTAGGCTGTTGGTGGCCAGCTTCCAGACGAGCTTACTGGCCTTGTACTTGATGCAGGCCACTAGGCTGCGGGTCTCGAAGCACTGCCGCTGGTTGCGCGCGATGAAGGGGTCGCTCTGGAAGAGGCTGGAGGATCCCGACGAAGCCGCCGATCTGGCCAGGGACTCCGCCAGCGAGACCTGTGGCAGGTGGGTGGTCTCCTTCTCCTCCTCCGCCTGGCTGTAGTGCAGCAGCACCAGCAGCAGCAGCGCCAGCACAATGCGACACAGCAGCATGTTTCTGACCGGGACTCCGCTTCGATTTCGATTTCAATACACAACACACTACTGGGATCACTGGGGCACCAACGCACGGCTTAGTGGACGAGTCGCAAATGGCAACCGAGAGGTGCTGGCTACTCCTTTTATCGAGCAACCGCAACCGCAGGCCAACTCTACTGGTTTTCGCAGCTAATGCTTATGCGCATGGAGCAGGCAGCATGCAGCTTGCAGCATGGGGCATGCACCGGAATAACAATTCCTGCTGCCACTGCCACTGCCGCTGAAACTTTCTGGGTCAGCGATCTGCGATCTGCTATGTGCGATCTGCCATTTGCGATCGACAACAAATCGATGGCAATGTCGCGGGATTATGAAGCTAATGTCGAACATAAGCAACCGCCAATTGACCGCGTTCCCGCTGCGTGTGAGCCGCGCTTGAGCTCCAATGAAAGCCGGGCATCGAAAGTGAATCGCTATCCGTGGAACGATACAATTACGCTGGCCTGGCGCCAGTGGCACTGACTGCCAACGATGCCAATCAGAATAAGTGCAAATGTGCATTTATGCGATTTAAACTGGCCAGTGGCCACTGAGCTGGTATTGCATCGTGCAATTTGCATATTTCTGTTTCCAGCCCGGTGAGTGAGCACTTGGACCTGGACCTGGAGCTGGAGCTGGAGATGGAGCTGTGACCGTCTTAATTACCCGGCCGCAGACGCGGGATGCGAAAGTTGTTGTTGTCCCGGGCAGAGAGATAGATTGCCCCTGTTGCATTGCCCCTGTTGCATTATTGACTAGTGAAAGTAACAATTGGCGCAGCTTGTCGACTCTTTTTCCTTTGCCCCAACACTTGGAATTCTCGAGCGGCCAACTGGCAGAGTGGGATTGATTGGTCTGCGATGGCAGCTCGCTGTCTGTGGTCGCACTTAATGAGAATGAGGTAATCCGTATCGGATGAAGTGGCTCTGCTCCGAGCTAGAATCAATTGGCGGGCGCAGCTGCGAAGAAAGTTTTCGGCCTGCCGATCGCCAATTTCTTGTAAACATGTCTTTAAGCCAGCCTCAAAAATATTTGGCCGTCAAGCGACCAGCAATAATTACTCGAACCCACCCCACTTCCACCCCGATTTAATGGCTACATATTAAATCACGGGGAGCACGCAAGCGTGCGGGTATTCGGAGGATTTTAGATTTTGCCCCACAATCCGCAGCCTGAAACGACTTTTACGAGAAATTAGCAGAGGCGGCGAGAGGCTGAAACCGAAACCGACACTGAATTGCCCGGCAATAACCAAATCCGATCTGTCAAGATTTTTGGGCCATTTGGCTGATCGAGCGGCGGCCGGATAGGCTTATAATTGTCAAAGTGCCAGTGGCCAGTGGCCAAGGAGAGTGGCCCCAACCAGACGGACCTGGGTCGTAAAGACGTGGTAATGGCCTTGACCAGTTTGATAGTGAAATTTCCGTTCAGGGGGCATCTGTCTGATTGGCTCAATACTCAAGTTTAAGTACTCAACTCTCCAGCAAGTGCAGATTCCTTGACCAACCTAATTGATTTTTATTGAGATGGAACCAATTCACCTACAAATAACCAGATTCGGAACTTAAATATATTACCCTACTTAAGTGGCACTATAAACTTAACAGCCTATAAATATTTAAGTTTAGTATTATATTTAATGGCAAACATATTTATTATCGTGACATCTAAATGACTGCGGTGAGTTTTGGGCTCAGTTGCATGAAGAAAGTATAAATTAATTGAGAGATCAAAAATGTATTACGAAAGTGGAACGGTTTTATCTAAATTTGATGCACATTTTTCATCACCATTAAATTCTGTCTGATACAAAATACCAAATTTTACCATATTCTGTCAGAACGTATTGAATGTTAATTTTATTGATCTTCTCAATATTGCGATTTTTTCAGTCGTGCATTAATAGAATAAGTTTCCTAAATTTATGTGAATCGCCATATAACTTGGAAAAGAAATTCAAAGCAGGTTACTAAAAAAACAAGGAAAACGCAAGGGTCAAGTGCCTCGACTATCAGATACCCCTTACTCAGCTAAAGGAAGTGCAAGGGAGATCGACATATGTATATTACCACCAATACGACCTTTTTCAAGATTGCCAGCCGCATCCCAGCGGCGATTACAATACTTGGACATGTGGGCGTCAGACAGATTTTAGCGTAATAGACGAGAGCAATCTTCTAACTTTAAGTCGCGATAAAAACTGCTTGCGACCTTCTCTCCCTTTTCTTCTAATATATATTATATTTACCAATGCAATATTTTTGAATCAAGGCGCCATGTGTTCTTCCTCCTCTTAAACTTGAATCATATTTTTCCTGGTCTGGTAACATCAACCTCGTCTTGATTCTTTTAATTGATTCCTTTAATTTCTGAGACATTTTAAAATATGGTTTGTGTCTAGGTAAATCTTAATTTTTACAGAGACTTTCACGTTTTCTAACAGAGATGTTAAGATTTTTTAACATTTCTGTTAGATTTTGATCCAACTTAACATTTGAGAAAATTTAAAATATGGTTTGGGTCCACGCTTACGCATGACGGCAGTAGCGGCATCTTATATTACTCATGGGAACTATGTCAGTAGCTTCTTGCTTCAGTCGACTTCCGCAAGAGGCCGCTAGAATTCATATGTCTGTATAGTGTATGTAAAATCGTGCACAAATCGAAATCTTACTCAATTATACATCAACCTGTACATGTAGAATTGGGCACCACCTACTCGGCTAAACATGGAAACATTTAAACACCACCGCCAGAGGCCCGTAAATCTGACCTTGATTTTTATAATTCCCAACTGCTTTTTCGGCGATTAGTTTGTATATATAGGGCCCTATACAATTAAAATTCGTTCTTGCTTCGGCAGAACATATACTAAAATTGGAACGATACAGAGAAGATTAGCATGGCCCCTGCGCAAGGATGACACGCAAAATCGTGAAGCGTTCCACATTTTTTTGATCAAATGAAACAGATTTTATTCTTAAAATATCTTTTTATTCTGCAACTTTCGTCATACCTTGCATTAATAAAAAGACATTTGTGGTGTCGCAAAACACACTCAAAACTGTTATTTTAATCTACAAGGAGGAGTTTTTTATAAATTATGGTATCTAACAACATTTATGCTATCAAACGTACCAACTTTTTTTCTCTGTTTCTCATACAAATAAAATTCGTTCTCTTTGGTATTTGAATTCGACGACTATATCACATAGCTGACATAGAAACAATCTGAAATATTCAGTATTCTATCATATTCTCTTCTTCTATGGAGTATAGCACTCGTTTAAGATCTCAGAATTTTAAATTTAGTAGTCTTATTTGGGGTCAATGCTTTACCGTGATCCGTTAATACCATTACCAAACACCAGATGCTTTCTTCAAATAAGCAAACTGCGAATTACCTGTCTCTGGCCAGCAACTTCCTTCTCAGAAGGAGCTTATCGACTTTACTCCATTAAAATTAATTTATTACTACTGCGACGCAACAAGCGACAAGTGCGATTAGTTAACAAGGCAGGAAAAGATTTGGCGGTACATTTTAAATATTTTACATTTAACAAGATAGTGTTAGCAAAGATAATATAGACTTATATTTTATAGTCTTTGGTTATACCGGTCGAACGTATGCAAGTATGTTACAGGTAAAAGGAAGCGATTCCGACCCCATGAAGTGTATTGTTCTTTATAAGGATCATAAGTCGAGCCGATCTAGCCATGTCCGTCTGCCCACAACCGCCCAAAGCTGTGGCGCCCACAGTTTTAATGCTAGAATATGCTAAAATTTTAACTGAAATGTTTCTTTTATCGATGAAATGGCAAACCTTAATGAAAAAAGTCAGTATTGAAAACCCCATTATATATATTCTTGATCAGGATCCGTCTGTCCCTATGAACGCAGTGATCTCGTAAACTATTAAAGCTACTATATTGGGATAAGACATGCAGATTCCATGTAATCTCTGCAGAGATTAAGATAAAACCGAAAACCACCGGAAACTGTGGGCATCATATGCAAAAAGGTTCCGAAAAATAAATGCAAAAATGAGAAAATGTAAAATGACTAACCTCCCCAACCGGTTTTAAAATTGATTATAAGATTGTTGGTAATTGACTGGCTGCTTAGAGTAAGCGTGACCCTTCCACTTGGGTGAAGACTGAAAGAAAATGTGGTTTTGTAAAAAATAAACTTTTTCTGAAAACCCCCAAACCCAAATCTAATGAAATCAATTTCACAACCATACACAGAGAAAAACTAGAAAGATCGCTATAGTCGACGGTTACTCAGCTAAAGAGAGTGCGAGGGAGATGGAGATATGCATGCAGAAAATCGGCTGTTTAATCAGAACACTTTTACAAAATAATATAAAATGAGGTCGCTAGATATGTATTAGCGTGGGCGTTTGCGGGTGTTACAGTTGTTTGAACCGGTAGTGATAAATGTCCGAGGTTATTAGCCCAGTTTTGTTCTTACTGAAAATACGAATCGAATGTTCCGTTCAAAAGTTATTATTGGTGGCTTTCCAAAATGAAAATGTTAGTACCTTTGTTTGTGAGTTTGTATACAGAGAAAATAAAGACGTTCTCAAATTGAGTACTTGTGTTCTCAATTTGAGGATGAACTGGGGACTTCGTTGGTGTATTAAGAGCCTCGAGATAGATATTTTTGGTCTTTTGCTCTACGACTTTTTAAAAAACTTTGCGATCGTCACGACCCCATACCTCATTTAGAGGTATTTTTGTTTAATTATTAATTTCTGCAAGGGTATAAAAATTGATAGTTTTCCATAATATGGATTAATGTTCCACGATTTGAATAAATAATAAATACTTATTTGAATACGACGATTTCTTAACGCTTTTCTTCACAGCTGTTTGCAAGCGCGATTGCTCATGAAAACACCTCCGCTTTACCCATCAAGTTACCCAGTGATCCTGATCATTAACTAAGAAGGTAAGACCAAATAATGTAATCGCCAATAAGTACCTCCCAGCAATTTTTAAAAAAGGTGCTTTGCGGCTTGAATATCTTGATCTACCTTGCGCTACCTTTAGTTGAGTAATGGGTATCTGATAGTTGGGACACACCCCCTTTTTCAAACTGTACTCAAAAAAATAATAAATACAATTCTTTAATGTAGAGAATTGTCTATTTAATTTTGTAAGCTACTTTAATTAACAACTTAAACTTAGTTCTTAGCAAAGGAATACGTAACTAAATGAGAACGTTTTGATTACTTCTAGCGCGCAACAATCGCATTATCAAAGAGTTCTTGTCGAGCCCGTAGATGGAAGTCTGACCACTGGACTCCGAGAATGACTCATCCGCCGTGTAGTCCGCGTTCAGGGTGGTTGTGGCCAACTCGTCGGAGGCCACGGTGGTTGCCGACTCGCTGCCGGTGGTTTGACTGTTCAACTCCTCGGCTTCGGTGGTCGAAGAAGGTGTGGGCGTGGCAACTGTGGTGCTGGAGTCAAAACTGGTGGTTGGCGGATCAGTTGTCTCCTCGGGTTCGGAAGTGGAGTCTTCACTTGCAGTACTCACACTGCTGGGCAGTTCAGTGGTCGATGGGTCGGTGGTGCTGGACGGCGCAGTGGTGCTTGGCACGGGTGTGGTTGAGGTCGAAGTGGTGCCCTCTTTGGTGGTCAGCATGAGCAGCAATTCATGGTCAGCATCTTCGTAAGCACTGGCGGCATTTCCGATGTCCAAATTTAAAAGCTCCGTGGATGCCAGGCTCAGAATGGCTGGTAGTTTGGCAGGTGGTGCCGCTGTTGTGGTGCTCGTTGAACTGCTAACAGTGCTGGTGGTACTTGTCCCTTTTGGTGAGACAGTCCAGTGATAAGAAGGGTGTTTCTGGCCGTGCGTCTTCTTGAAGGATGTTGGCTTTTTTCCAAAGAATCCCTTGACATTATCGAGGGTTTTTCGCACCAGCCAGTTGTCATTGGAGGACCAGGAGGCATCTTCATCGGTGCTGACATGATTTGAGCCACTTGATACACCGTACCCCGAAAATCCCGCAGTGGCGAGCTCTATTTTGCGTATTTTGCGATTGTTAGCTTCTAGGGACGGCGATGTGGCCTTTATAGTTTTCTTCGTTAGCTGACGAGGTTTGCTTGGTGCGAATGGAATCTTTAGCACTGTTTTGGCAGATCGATTATGTAGTGTGGAGGTATTCTTTCCATATAAAACAGGTGGCACCAAAGGCAGTGGACGGCTTATCTCAGAGGAAATTCCCTTGGCTTCCCCGCTGGTCCTTGGACACTCACCCTTGTGGGATATCTTCCAAACTGCAGGAAAGTTTGCATTAAATATAGACTATGAGATTTTAAAAAGTAAAAATTGTACTTACTGATTGTTGGATCCCTGCAGCGAACTCGCTCCAAATAGCACTCGTTGATTATTGTGTGCTTGATGCCATTGCGGGTGGCACAAAGGGGTTGATACACAGTGGGGCAAGGCTTGTCACAGCGACGACAAGCTCCGTCGTGGGAAATGGTCCATGCTGTAGGAGTTAGAACTGTCATTAGAAAGTGCCTACATAGTCTGGTTTATTAGTTAACAACTTTACGTTACAAAAGTTATGAATTTTAAAGTTGGCTTTCAACAGAATCGAAAATATATATATTTATGTATATATTTTGAGAAACAATCTAAGCTCATCTGTGTAAATTCGTCCCAACAATACTACATTTTACTGAGTTATCTTACAAAACTATCTTGAACCTGCATCGAATAAATATATTTTCCTGCCACATGACCTTTAAGTGTACGAAAATTAAACTAAAACATATTAAATGCAGCAAGACAAGGCCCACTCCTTAAAATGGTTGGGAAATCTAGTAGATTGTCCCAAACCGTAATCTCCATGAAAGACTCACCGTTTCCGACTTGTTGGCTGTACTCCATCAGTTCGCAGACAGTGGAAAAGGTGCGGGTCTGACCCTTAAAGCTGCCGCAAACGGGCTCACTGCCGAAGACGCACGACTTCACGGGGACTCGACGCACCTTGGATTTCGGGGGGAGCACCACGTAGGGCTTCCTGGCGGGCAGGGAGTAGCTCTTCTCCATGGCGCCCGTGTGGCTGATGAACTGCGTGTGGAAGGTCGAGGGGGCGTAGATCTGCACGGCGTCCTCCGGTATCTGGAAGTCTTCCGCCTGAGTGGACAACCTTCTGCCTTTGTGGCTCCGTTTGGTGCGTTCCGCATCCGACTTTAGCTTGGTCTTTGGCTTCTGCTTGCGACTGTGCTTCATCTTGGTGCTATCCTCGCCACAGAGACCCTCGGAAACGATGCGCCAATCTGAGCACAGGAAAAGCACAGGAAATTGTTTTCAATCTTATCGCATTGCATTGGAAAATGGATATGGATATGAAGCCCATAAATATACCGAAAGTGGGAAGAGATCTTTGGGGTTGATTTATGAGTACTCACTTCTCTGGGTCTTGATGTTCTCGGCGTTCACTAGACACTCGTTGGAGAAGGTGGACTTGACTCCTGCATACATGGCACAAACGGGACGATAGATCCTGGTGCAAGGTACGGGCACAGGTGCTTTCTGACTGCTCTGGAGCAGTGTATTGGCCTTGGGACATACCCCCCACTGCTGGACCATCCAATCCGATCGGGAGAGACAAGCGGTTCGCATCATTTCGCAGCGACTTCTGAAGGTCTTGCGCTCTCCACTGCGCGAGCTGATCCCACAAACTGGCTGATATCTTGAGCTACATTCGAACTCGCAGCTGGGAAAGCATAATCGGAGAGCCACATCATCTATAGGGGAATAATAAAATCATTAAAAAGTAGTTCTTTTAAATTCATAGCTCTGTTCAGGTCAGGTTACTTTTGTAAATACCAGTACACTCTCAAAGTATTCAATTAAAGTATTTATATGATCATTTGTATAATACATTTTTTCATATACGAAATAATTCTTGATGAATTCACGTATGTATCCCAATCCTAAGTTACTTACACAGAGGGCCATTCATGAGGTTGCCCCGCTGGGCCTTTCGCAGGTCACACTCGTTGGCGAACAAGAAGTACATTCCATTTTCCCGACTCTGGGCGCACGCTGGAGTGTCGTCATCCGAGCAGAGCATGCTCATCTGGTCGCGGGCAGCGGATGCCAGCAGTACTTGTAGGGCTATTCCAAGACAAAGACCTATCACCTTTCGCCCAGCCATGTTCTTGCGGTTCTGAGACTGTTTCGAAACTCAATGCAACTCGAGATGCGACCGGGCCTTTTATAATGCCAGCAGTGGCACGCGTCGAAGTATGAAACATAGTTCATATGGCTCGATGACATTATCGGAGCCGAAATTCTGCAGACATCACATTGCGCGATAAACACGCTTGGCATCGGCGTTCTGACAAATTTGTCACAGTCGATAGATGATTCGATTGTACGGATTCGCTCTATTGATAGCGCCAATTAGATGCACCCAAAGTGCGGAGTGCAGACTCTGCGGCTACGTGATATTCGGTCGATTTCGGAAAAGCGGCGAGATAAGCTCCGAGTTGGCATTTGCATAGATTGTGCGGCGACAGCTTTATAGTTAGCATCTTTTCCGCCCGTCTCTAAGCTGATAATGCGCTCATCCTCTGCCAGTTTTCTGGCATAAATATAAATATATGTGTGCAGGGAAAATGCACAGCGTAAATTCTTTTTCGGCCAACTCATGCCCAGCTGCCAGCCCATTTCCCCGACAACTGAATGAATTATAGTAACATATGCTATCTGTGCAGGAAGTTGTCCGAGATGCGGCGGATAAGCCCCCGATGACGGCGACTCATTCAATAAAAAATTCCGAAAATTGTCACGCTCACAGTGCAATATTAAGGGCTATTTTGCTTAATAATCGCTCACTTGGGTGCTTTAATCGCTGAAATTGTGTTTACGCAATATGTTTTCGATTTTATTTTTTAATTAGTCAGCCCAAAGATGGGAAAAGTAATTGTAAAAGATATTTGGTAAGGTCATGGCTTAAGTGTTGACCAGTTTATATTTATTTAGCGCCTATCATAAAAATGAATAGTTCAATTATACTAATCATTTTATTTTATTACAAATATTTCAAGCTTAAATTATAATTTTATGTATTTCTTTACTTTGGGCGGCCTAAAGCCAATAGTATACATTTGAATTCCGTTAATGATTATTATTGAATGATTTACCTTTTAACACATGCAATTATTTTTTCTCAATGTTTGGCGAATGCTTACTATGCTATTTGCCATAATGAATTGTAACCCTTTAAAACCAAGCATTCTGTTATTTATAGATTATCGAATGCTGCTGCCAAAAGCAATTAGGCATCCACCGCTAACCAAAAAAGTGGGTCAAGTAGGTCAAGTTCCGCCGATGATGGGACCTATAATTGAACTATTATTTAATAACCGCAGCGGAACAGTAGGCGCTGCTGGAGTCTCCGCTAATTTGTGTTCTTACGGTTCCCCAACCTCGGCTCTCTAATCTGGCCAGAAGATCGGGCCTGCTGTATTCGCCAGCTCCCAGTTGGCATCAAGTCACAGTCACGCGCAGGCGTCATGCCAACTTTGGCAGCTGCTGCTCCCCAGCTCGGTGGGCCAATTGCTAATTTCGCGAGGCGGCCAGAAACTTCTTCCCCGGCTAATGACAAACAATTTGAGCCCCAGCAACGGGTGCTAAAATTAGAAGATCTAATAACGCGCGGCGAAGGTGCAATCTGGCCGAAAGAAAGCCCGATGGAGTTGCTGAATCGCGAAGAGAGCGCTGAATAGAGTGGCTCAAAGAGCCGGGGAGAGAGTCGCGTGGAGCGATCGCAGGCCCGGTCTGGCCTACCGTCTTGGCCAGAAAAAGTCGAGCCAGTCTAACGACGAGATCTGAAGCATAAAGACATGCGACGTCTCGGGTGCAACGGCCGTCAGAGTCATTGAACGCTTGCATTTTCCTGGCCAAAACGGAAAAGCTTAAAACGCAGCTCTTAAATTCGAGACAGTGGCAGCCGAAAGTCGGCTTACTTAATAAACTCTAGATAGACAAATAAATAAATAGATAAACTGAAGAATGGTTCTGGTCACGCCCCCTGTGAGTAAGGGCGGAAACGCGGGCGGCTGCTTCATGGATCAGTATCAGCAGTACTCGGCCCACTGTGAGACCGCGGACAGTGGCAATGGCAGTGACCTGGAGAGCACCGGAGTGCCCACCAAACCGGATGACAGCGAGGAGAGTGGTCCCTCCTCCCTGGGCAGCGATTCGATGCACGGCAGCAGCACGGAGTACGTGAGGCAGGCGGCCTCGCAGCCCAGTGGTCAGCGGCAGCGGCAGAAGTCCCTGAGGGTCCTTGGCGCCCTGCTGCCCGACAGCCTGCTCAGGGACATTCGCGACCGGAGGAGCACCGAGTACGTGGTGACCTTTTCCCAGACGGAGGAGGAGGAAAAGATCCCGGTACCAGACAAGATCCCGGAGAAACCAAGTCCATTTCGACTGGCTCGCGAATCGCTGAGCGAGGAGAAAATCGAGGAGCTGCGGGCCGCCGTGGAGCGGGCCAACTTTGTGCAAACCGGTGAGGAGCCACTGGACAGCATCGAAGCCACCTCGCTGTCTCTGCCAGCCAGCAGCAACATCGGCGGACACCGCAGCAACATCAGCTACAAGTATGCAGACGACCAATACTACAGCTTTCACATTAACGAGCACGAGAACTTCGGCGGGTTCTCGAGAAACAGAGACGAGGTGGACGAGGCAGGGTCCGAGAGCGGGATCCTAACGGAACAGCAAGACCTCTTCGCCGGCTACCGGGATGTGCGATGTGGGGCCAGTTCCACACAGTCCACCATCAGGTCCGCCAAGGGAACGGTGCGGGGCGTCAAGAACCGTGTGCGCAATGGAATAGCCACGTTCTTGCAGCTCCAGCAGCAGCCCAATGCCAAGGTGAGTGCCGGGATCAAGATGGGATGGGATAATGGGATGGGATGGGATGGGTATTCCATGGTTCAGGTCGAAGAGGCAGTGCCAATCAGCTGCGTACTTCTTTTACCGGTTTTAATAATTACAGTCATGAACTTATTTTCATGCAATCGTTACGCACTGCATTTTATTGAGACACTGAAATCATACACACTCTTACACCTCTAGTCAGCTGAATAATATATCTGAATTCCACAATCTCATTAAATATTTTTCAAGCATTTCAATACATTTATATAGGGATTGTTGCGTTTGGCTAGACATTGCTTAATGTAAATAGAAAGATACACATTGGTTCTTTTTAAAGTGGTGGTTTTGAAATTTTTGATACTTGCTTATCGCACAACATTTAAATTGGTAAAGAAGTCAGTATATTTACCGGAAGCCCATCAAAAAAGGAAAATTATAACAAATTATAAATATAAGCACTAGAAACAGTTTAAAAATGTTTTTCAAAAAAATAATCGTGACATTGTTAGAAATTATAATTTGATAATAGCTTAAAGTTGTGGGCTTAGGAATTTTATTTTAGCATAGCAAGAAAAGTTTAAAAATTTCAAAAACCTTACGATTTTGGAAGACTGCGCTTTACTTTCAGCTTCAGTTATAGTTATGAATTCCTATCGATGGTTATTTAAATCTGCTGCATTTGTTTATTATTAAAAATATTAAAGTAATGAAATGCGTGAAGAAATCAGTAGATAAGGGAAGCCAATTAATACATATTTCTTAACAAAAATTAAGCATTATTTACTTTATTTTATATTTTTATTTAATTGCAAATAAGTTCCAAGTTGAGCGCATAGTTATGGTCAAAACTGGTCAACAAATATCACGATTTCGGCCGACTCCGCTATACTTTCAGCCGCAGCTGTAGTTATGAGTTCCGATATGAATATTCAGTTATCGATGGTTACTCAGTTCCCACGCTGTTGGGCGTCGGCAGAGGCTTCCAGTGGCGTTGAGTCACCTGCTCGCCCAAATTATGCAATTGGCTCGGTGCGAGCATCTTGCCAATTGTCTGCACCTCGGCATTTCTGCTGGCTGAAATGGAGAAAGTGCTGGCCAACAATTGAGGCGGCCGATGTGTGGCTGCGGCTTTTCAATATCTTTCACATTTCGTATTTCGTATTTCGTATTGCCCGTAATCTAATGAACTGTCAGTGGCTCCCCGGCCCGCGACAGCCCCCGCCCGAGAAACCAGCTGCGCTTTCAGCGTCTTCGCCGGTTTCTTCTTCAATTATAATGGAAACCGTTAAGTGGCTTATTTTGTCTCCGTCGATGTCGTTTTGTATGCGCTTAGCGCGCGTTTACAACTTGCCCAGATAGCCAGATAGCCAGATAGCCAGATATCTCCCTGGCCAAAGTCGGGTTTGTTTTTGGCCTTTCGTTCCCAGAGACATGTAGCCTGGGTGCGGGATTGACACGACTAATCGCAGTTAATGTCGGGCAGTTGGGGAGCTGGAAAACAAATAAAAAGAACAGCTAATTCCGCGGAGACAATGGGGCTGAGTGGAATTGTCATCGTAAAAGCGCGGCTGGTAATAGTTTCTTTTTCCGAGGCGTGTTCTCGGAACTAGTTTTGCATAAAGAGATCTTTGATCTCTGATGGGGCTCATTAATTCACTTGATAAATCAATATCTACCCAATGATTTATGATCGTTGGCTAGAAGAGCTTTCTAGTATTTTGGTTTAAAGACTTCGCTTTGGAACGTCTCTTTTGATAAATCTTTGGAATATTCAGTTCTCTGATTTAGAGTTGACATTTTGGAGAGTGACAGTATTCTCATTAAGAAGTGTTAAAAATAAACTAGACAATTTGTGAATTAAGACTTCTAATAAGTCTGGGGAATCTTTAGGACCTTTCCAGTAACTTAATATTTTGTAATCTGAGCCTCAAGCTTTTGTTTATTATGATACCCATGCCAGATGTTGATTTATGATCATTGGTTCGCAGAGCTTTCTAGTACTTTGGTTACGTCTTCACAGTCTCTGTCAAAAATCAAACTAATTTCCTGTTTTAATGTCGCAAATTATCTGAATTGCCGCCATTAGGAATTCCCCTTCCCAAATCGCACCTCCTATTAGGGTTTAGTAGTTGTGATTGATTTCGAGTGTTTCCACACCGAGCGCTATTTAGGATCGGAAACCTGTCCCCATTTGATGGATTATAGCTCAATCGCTTTTCCGCCCATTTAGGCGCTTTTCTCCCGTTTTACCTTTATCAACCGTGACGGGAGTAGAAATCTTTTCTACTCCATATACACACTTCTGGTCGGGTATGATATTGTTTTTATGCTTTTTAACTTTTATGTGAGATTTCCCTTTATCTAATTTAATGAGCAGATTTTAGATCACATTAATTGTTTTGTTTGCGTCTCGGGCTGCGACTCGCTAGCTTTTCACTTTCTGAATCAGAGTCTGAACCTGATGAATTGATGGAATGATAGCTGGCTCGCCGGACTAGAAACAACGGATCGGCTTAACTTAAGTGGCTGCTAACTGAATAGAAATGTTTTATGGCCTTATAGCGGCTCGCATGCAAATGAGAAGCAGCCGAGCCCGGCCCACAATGAGGAAAGTGAGATGCTGAGGCGGCTAATTACAATGCAGCCGGTATGCAGAGCAGTAAAAACCGAAAGTGAATAGGCGGGCTAGCATTGTCTTGGCCTTTTCTTCGGCCCTTTTCAGCGCACTGCTGCCAGCCATAATTAAAGCGCTCACCGAATTTTCGATGGCCAATTGGCTTGCCACAAATCAACAGTTCAGATGGCCAGTTCGGAAAACCCACAAATCACTTTGTCACCTTCGAGAAGCATCAGCGATATCTGCTGGCTCGGCATTAGCCTCCATCTCGGAGTTGATGTTGCTGTTGATGTTGATGTTGCTGTTGCTGTTGCCCAACTCTTCGATTGCCAATCACTCCACCGCTGGCTCTTGGCCATACAAGTGACCTGCTTTCTCTTTTGTCCACTTATATGTAGCAGTTGCTGCTGCGCTGCTGCTGTTGCTGCCGTGATGTTGCTGCTGCTGCTGTGCTGTTGCTGCTGCTCGCGTTCATGTCGCCGCTGTGACAAAAGTCGCTCTGAGGTCAACCGTGCAAATCACGTGTGGCAATTGTTAATTGCCCCGTGTTTATGTTTTCGGCAATGCAAATTATCAGCTCGAGCTGACATTGAACCACTGACGGATGGGAGGCCACCTCCACCACCGCTTGGTGGTTTATTAGCCCGGCTGCGGGCTTTTCTTTTCGCCAGAAGACAATCGGTGGAATTGAATTGGAAAAACAGCTCGACGACGTTCACTTAGAGCTGGAGTTGACTTTCCATTTGACCGCAGCTCGCTGTGTTTGTTTGTCTGCCAGCTTGTTTATTGTCGATTTGGTTCGTGCTGCGTGGCTTTGAACTTTTTCCTCAGTTTTGTCGTGAAATATTTTTCTCGCTTTTGTCGTTTATCGTTGACAACGGCACTTGCAGCTGCATCTCTTTCGGAATGCTGTCTCCGTCTCTTTCTCTGTCTCCGTGCATTTTCCATTTTCCATTTCCCTGCCTCCGCCAGCTTATTAATTTTCTGTCTTTCTATTGCAATGCAAATTCTCGTCTCACCGGTTTCAGGAGGCTTCAGTCCCGTACACACAAAATAACTAAGTAATCACCCATTTTTATGTAAGCACAAGAGTGTTGTAAGCCCGCCCTCCAAATACCTTTGACCAAGAAATGGCTTTATTTACAAACACCATGAATACATTACCACATTTTGATGTGATGTTTTAATCGTATTGATAGGCGGCTTAACTTGGTTACATTTTGTTTCCTACTTAAACTAAAATAATATTAAACTCATTGTTTTTATAGTTTTTTTTTTCAAAAGGGTTCATATATGTAAATAAAGAGGAGGGTCTCTTAAAAGTATTAAGAAGTGTTAGAACACTGATTTCATTCAGTTGTGTAGTTAAAAACTAAATATTCGTTTTAATACAAAATGCTACATTGATTTTTAATACTTAACAAATAACTATAGTATAGGACAAACCTTTTCTTTCTGTGTACGAAATGCATCTCCACGGTTCATTGATACCTGAGTCGTTTCGCAGGTGGGGGAACCGGGATCAGATCGGATTGCTTCGGTTCGGCTTGGTTCATTAGCCAAAGCAGACGCCACCAAAGTTGGCCAACTAACGGAAATGTTAATTGTCAAATGAAATGAGCGAGCCCCAGCTGCGAACCGGTTCGATCTTACAAAATAAGACATCATAAATTGTCGGGAAAGCATTCCAGGTTTCCATTGTGCCGCCATCTAACTCGGACTCTGGTTGTGGCCACGTCGATTGCCTAGCAGTTTTCCTATTATTGCTTAATTGAATTGATTAATAGGACTTTGAGTGACATGCAGAGTTGCTCGGTTACGTGACGCTGAGCTGCGAGCTAATGAACTCGAAGCCTGGCAGAGAGAGGCTTTGGCTTGGCTTTCCACCAGTCGCAGATCGAGATGCAATTTCCAACCAGTTTCAGGCTCCCGAATTCCAACGCCCCTTGTGGGCTTTTGGCCAAGACCTGATTCTAGCTACATGCTACATGAAGTTTGGGTTCCCAATCCGCACAGAAAATAAAACATTCCAATCTCAGTGGAAATTAAGGACATTGTTAAATTCGATCATTAATTTTGCTCAACATGTTCAGCAACGGGTTTTACATTAGGCAACATCATTATTTATTCAACAATATGAAAGCTATAAAATAAACAAATCCAATTATGTCGGAAATAAAAATCAAGGCAATGAAAAATCATTGCTTTGCTTTTCTGCTGTTCGGAATAATTAGTATATGGCTTAGCATAATATTGAAAAAGTATATAAATAATAGTGAATTGGTTATTAAATAAATTTAAAAGAATCAGGAATCCAGTCTGTTGTTTATGAATTGAGAATCTATTTATAATAAGATAGAGGAACGACTACTTTTTCTAATGCCAACATTTTCATCACAAAACATTAAAAATAGAACTCGAATGCAATAGTTAACCGTGTGTGCACAAAGCAAACTCAACCGTATAATATGGGGCTTCGAGTGCTCAAATCTCTATTGATTCGGTGTTACGCCTGCAGAGCGGCCTCCGCGTCGCCTTTGTCTGCGGTTGGCCTTCATCCTCGTTTGGTGGAGACCCAATTTGGCATTGCCATTCTTGCCTGACCATGACAGACTTCGAAATCCGCGCTCTGTGGCGAATGGCGCGCCAATTTCCAGTTTTCGGTGGCCTGCTTTCAAGCATTTCAGCATTTCAGCCCGCCGCCGTCAAACCAGAACTCGAACTAATCTCCGATCTGCTTTTCCCCTTTCCCCCACTCTCGCCCCACAGAACTTCAAGGAGAAAGACCTCGGAAAGGTGGTGCTGTACACCACCAGCATGGGCATCATCCGCGAGACCTACACGAAGTGCGCCAACGTGAAGCAGATCCTGCGCACCCTGCTGGTCAAGTTCGAGGAGCGGGACGTGTTCATGAGCGTGGAGTACCAGGCGGAGATGCGCCAGCGGATGCGGAGCGGCCAGGTGCGGGTGCCGCAGCTCTACGTGGAGGGCCAGCACATCGGGGACGCCGAGACCGTCGAGCGGCTGAACGAGTCCGGCGAGCTGCGGCAGCTGCTCAAGCCCTACAAGTCCATGGCCAGCACCTTCACCTGCCAGACCTGCGGCGGCTACCGCCTGCTGCCCTGCCCCTCCTGCAACGGCTCCAAGAAGTCCGTGCACCGCAACCACTTCACTGCCGAGTTCGTCGCCCTCAAGTGCATGAACTGCGACGAGGTGGGCCTGGTCAAGTGCCACAGCTGTTGAGGCCCGTAGTCGTAAGCCCAGTTAGTCTTAGCCCCCTAGTACCCGTTCGGAATATCCTAGCCTAAGTAGTAAATAGATAGAACGTACAAGGGCTTGTGTTTTTATTCGCATGGGAGGAAAACGGGACATTTAAATTTCAACTAATACAATTGGCTTTCTATTTTGAACGCAGAACTTTTTTATTAGAAATGTAGCACTTAAAAACATAACTCGTTATAGGTATAAATATTTTAGTATTTTTCGGAATGTTCTAACCATGCGCGGATCCACGGGGGATATGGAGGATAGATCCCCCACTTGCGGTAAAAAGTATATGTAATATGTATTTTATTCCAAATTTTTGATATCTACTCAACACATTTGTTTATTGCCCCCTCCCCACAACCAAATTCGGGATCCGCCACTGGTTCTAACCTTGGTAGTTAAACAGAAAAGCGGCTCAGTGTAAGTATTTGTGGGATGGGAATTATGGGTTAATCTTTAATCATTAGTTAGTTATTTTAAAGGCATTTATTTTTCTGTTTATATGAATCACAACTTTTATTATACACCTTAAAAAATAATTAATAAATAATATCTCCTAGCTCAGTTTATAAACTTCGCTTTGTAAATTTTATTAAGTATAAGTGCAATAAAAATATGCCTATATAAGTAGTCAATAGTTCGAAAACTTAAACAAACTACGATTTTTAAATAACCCAATGAGGATATGTAAGCCTACACTGATAAAAAAAACGTAGTAAATCCAAATATTTCATATTCAACCCAAATATTTTTCGCTTTGATTTTCATCCATTGCGGTTTTTATTAAATTTAAATATGCGCATATTAACTTTTTTTCCATATTAAATTTAAATATTTTCGGAATAGATTTTAATATTTTAAATATTTAAGTTAAATATAAACCATATTTAAATTAAATACAATGCATATTTCTATTTAATATTATGACTATTTGATTTTAAATTTTTAAAATTTGAATTAAATAGTACACGTGTTTAATATAAATAGAAACCATATTAAATTCTAAAATTTTAATAGTTAAATGAATAACCGAAATATTAAAATTCAATATAAAGCGTATTAAGATTCAATACTAGACATATTTATTCAAAATATGCCAATTATAATATTAAATATGATAAGTATTCAAATATTTTTGGTACACTAAAAAAAATTAGTACACAAATTTTATTTGTTTTTTCATTTTTTTTTTTTTAAACATTTATTTTTCATTACGGCTTGCTGGAAGGTACAAATAATACAGTTACACTTATATTTATTTTACAGAGATCTGTATAAAACATATTTTTTATCATTTACATCATACATACATGTGCATTGGATGGCTTGAAAACTCTTCAATGTTTTTTAAGAACTAATACATTTTTAGTTATTCCACATTCATATGCCTGCAAATGGTTGCATGTTTTAACTTCTAAAGCATTACACGCTACATACACAGTTGTCAATTCATAAACGAAAGAAAGTACTTTAAACAATCTTAGAGTATTACCAATCTTAATAGCTAAACACTAATTAGTTTTGTAAGTTATCTGCGAAATAAATAGTAAGATAAAAAAGAAAATTATAGATTTCGTTTTAAAGAGATCAATTAAAATATGAATGGTTAAAGATTTGGACCTGAAAGAAAACAACAAAAGAGCACAAAAAAAATAAATAAAAAGACAAAATCCGAATGTAGTCTGACTAAAATTATAAATTACCAATTCCGGCGCCGCGAGTCAGCATATTTTGGCCATGCTTTCAAAAGCTCAGCTCCATCGAAAGTTTTCACATCCTTACGCCGAGTATGGGTTTTATTCTCAACAGGAACCTCCAATATTTTATCCAGTTTTATATGCTTCGTTTTGGAATTTGTATATTTGGCATATATGTATGTTGGTTCGAGAATGTATTTGTTTGCCACTGCGAGGAATGATATAGAAAAAATGTATTATTTAATTTAAAACCTACTTTGCCGTATTCTTACTTTTAAAAATGTATTTATTTCTACGTTTTTTACTTACCTATGACTTTGCCAGGAACGGTAAACGCACGCTGTGTGTGGGTAGATGTGTTGCAGAAAATGTACATGTGTGTGTTCGCTAGGGCACGCTCAACTTTGTTGGCGACAAAGCAACGGTAAACGCACGGTGTGGTATATGTATGTGTGTGTAGCTGCACTTGATTGTACGTTCATACGTTTCTGAGAACCGAAAATTTTAATCCACTTAATAATTAATACATTCTACGTGCATATGTATGTATATGTATGCGTGTAACGGCGCGCGCTAATTTGTTGTATTCTAGGAAAACGCAGTACGAGTAAAATATTTTTGATAATTTTAATTTAACTTTTATACACACATATGCACAAATTAATTTTTAGGCTATTTTCACTTTAAAAAAGATACGACACGTCCTACTTCTTTGGCTGCAATTATGAAATGGCAAGCGTCGTGCCGTGTTGAAAAAGCGGAATCAATTGTACATATGTATGTACATACATGCCGCGAAAAATGTACTTTTTGGCATTGAATGTTGCTGCCAACATACACACTTATTTATTTAAAGAAACTTCACATGATTTTTTGATAGCGCGATCAAGTTTAATTTTATATTTGTATGCCAACTTCACTTTTATAAAGACCCGACACGTCCAACTTCTTCGGCTGCAACTCTTCAATAACACGCGTCGTTTAGTGATCAAGAAGAAGAGTCATTGATCAAAGCAAACGCGAAAGAATGTGTGTAGGATAGAACAAAAAAAAACCGCCAAAAATTATCTTAGCGCCTTCGTTTTTGTTCTGCCCATTTACATAAGTACATACATATGTACATATGTCAATTTACTTTAATGTATATAAATTTGTTTTTAAAAATGTATAATGTTTGGTATGAACAAATGTATGGACATGAGTATACAGTTTATGAAATAAATCTTTTTGTTAAAGTCAGCTTAAAATATTTATTTTAAATATTATCGTACTTAAAAACGGACATGGCAGAACCTAATATTTAAATATGAAACATATTTAAATGTGATAGTACAAATAAAATACATTTTAATTAATTAATTTGTACGTAAATATAAAAGATATCTTCTTGAGGTGTTTTTATTTGATATAAACATTGACACTTTTTATATTATTATTACAAACATTTTTATTTTAAATATTAAAAACTTTAAAATAAAATAATTTGAATACTCAAAATTAATATGAAACATTTTTAATTTAAATACGGATTTTTTAATTCTGAAAATATTAACGATAAATATAATATTTTTACAAATAAATATAAACAAATTTAAATTAAATATGCTCTTCTTTGATTTAAATATTTTAGTATTAAACTATGCAATTTAATATGTTTCGTATTTAATACAATGTTTTTTGTATTAAATTTAAATATGAAATATGAAATTTTTGATTCAATATGCGGATATTTAAATGTACTATTCCATTTTTTTATCAGTGTAGTGAGTAACTATGTTTAAGTCCAAATGTTAAGATAGTGTAACCATCAACAGCTCTAAGAATTCAGCAATAAATATAAAGTCAACGAAGGAGGCACTACGTCTTCATCAGTTCTTTTGTGCGCCAGAGGGGGGATAATGAATATTCCGGGTGGCCAAAATATTGGTCGAACCAATGAAACATTGCCCCAAGAACAATACAATATTTGCATGCAAATAAATAGTTTGCCTGAAGTGCAGAGCATATATTTCAGATGCAATTAAACCAGTTTAGCGCTTTAATTTTTCATTAATTTGCAATTGGACCGCAAAGTATGCAAGGCCTAATGCCGCTTTTGCGTTCAATTAAATGCTGCAGGCTCTCGAATGCTTGGCGGGGCTTAAAATTAATTTAGATATTTGTTGATTGCATTGCATACTTTTTGGCAGCCGTGCATTAGGGTTGCCAGCCCACTTTAAAGAGCAGAACCCAACCCACGGTGATTATTCCAGTTATGATCGCTCGCCCAAAATGACCTTTTATTACCACATCACCCGGACCATTGCTCTTCTGCCTTCTGTGGAAGTGACTTACTGCCCAAGTAAAGCAAAGGAGCAGAGCAGCCAAAACTATGCCACCGCAGAGCTGGCCAAGACAAAGAGTATATATTTCAGGAAATAGTTAAATGTTATAGGGGGCAGGGGCCTACGTCTACATGCACATGAACGCTGTAGCAATGATTGCTTTCCACTTCGGTCCTCAGCCTCTGGCTCATGCATCTATTCTGCCGAAAGTGCACTGAGAAAAAATACGAGGTCAAGGGGATTTTTTCAAGGTTGGGAGTTTGTGTTTCACTTTCATAGAAATATAAAATTTCTTAATTTTTGAAAATGTAATATTCCGAAGAGGCAGTAACAGATGGTTAATCCTAAGAAAAAAAAATAAATTCTAAAATGTTAGGAGTCAGTATAAAATAACGAGGAAGAGTATATTAATTAGGAATTTTGGTATATACCTTAAATATAGTGTTTCGGAAATGTTACGAGAAATATCAATAAAGTCAAGAAATGTATTCTTAGTATCAATCTTGCAATTTAACGTAAGCATATTATTGAACATATCAAATAAAAGCAATTCTGAAATGTTAGAAGTCAGTATAAAATAATGAAGAAGAATATGTTACTATGCACTATTCTATGTAACCCTTAAAAAATGTTTACAAAATGTTACGAGAAATATTAAAAAAGACAAGTAATGTTTTAATATTTAGTATTTTTAAATCTTAATTGTAAAACTAATAAAAATGGTTATGTCAATAACTTACAATTATTTATTTATTTTTGAAGTGATTTGACGACCCTTATCCCAGTGCATCTTCTGGCTCGGGGCAATTATGTAAACCGGCTTTTCTCTCTTTGCACCGCACCGACCATGCAATTTTCTCGCGCCATTTAATTTTTGTCGGCCTGCTCCTGGTCGAGCTGGGAAAGTTGGTGGAAAGCGGGGCAGGACCGTCTGCGTCCTGGCCTTTCTGCCAGTTAGCCAGCCATTCGGCATTGCCATTTGCTTTTGGTGTCTTTGTTAGTTATTGTTATGGCCCTTTTTAATGTTATTTTCCACTTGGCTCACACTTTTGTTAACATGCCGCCCCCCAACGCACAGCCGGCAACCCGCTGACCAACCGAACTGACCGAAGGAAAACCCTTTCCCGATGGCAGCGCCAGTGGGCGGGATTGTTGTGTTTCCGCCACCCGAAGGCCCCCGGATCGTTAAATTCACAGGCGGCTACATTGTAATTACCGAGCGGAGCCACCGTCGAGCTGCTGGCCCAAATCCTCGACCGAGGCGGCTTGATTTATGGGCCAACAGCGGCGTCGTCATACGCAATTTTTCATAAACAATTTGGCACAGTAACACACACAGAATATCCAGGGGCTGGAGACGGAGTCGGGCTGGCTGAGAGTGCGGGGACCCCGAAATATTAAAATGTATATTGTAAATGCCGGTAATGCTGACAAACGGTGGCGACGTCATGTGAGTGCCGACTGGTGGCCAAAAGCAGCGGGATGGCAGTCGATTCGCAGGACTCTGGGCCCGAGTCGGGATCCGCAGTGCCACATTGTGGCAGCTGGTCGCCTGCCAGTTAAGCTGGAGCCATAGCTGAACAGTGCACTGTGCAAAATTGGTGGTACGTACGACCATGTTCGTAAATTACCTATTTGTCATTTGAATAGTACAAATTTTGCATTAACCAAGGAACTAACCGAGTCGAGCCAATAATACCATAGTTAAGATATGTACTTATAGATTTACTCACATCATTACCGAAGATTTTAAAAGGTATATAAGATGGTAAAGTGCATTGCATCCGGAAATAAAAGCACATGGGCTAAAAAATGGAGTTTCCCAATAACAGATCTTGAATATTTTTGAAAGCTAAGATATTTTCTCATATTCTTTGAGTGTATAGAAGCAGTACGCCGAACAGACCCGCTCCTGGATGGCGCTGCCTTTGTTAAACTTTATCCGCGGTAATTAGTTTATGCGCGCAATTTCATGTGCAATTTGGTCATTAAATATTTTTTGTGCCTGGCGAGGGCGGTGGTGGTTGGGCATTATTATTTTGCCATATTTCGCCAGACTCCGGTGACTGGGGCCCAGGAATACGAGTATCTAAAAGCGATACACAGAGCCGGGAGCAGGTGGTCCGGAGCTCTGGCTCACTATAAATTAGTGTGTCAAGCGGACGGCGGCATCGCTCCCAATTGGCGACAAATAAAATTAGCCACACATTATGTTTTGGCAAAAACTTTCAAATTGTTTTGGCCACCGCTCCCGCAGCTCATTACGGCGTTGTTTGGGCTGCTGTTTTATTTTCCGCACCGTCCTGTCCCTATTCCGTCCTGTTCTGTACTGTACTGCCCTGTTCCCGGCGAATCGGGTCGAATCGGGATGGCCACAAATCACGGGCAGCTACTCAACGGATTATTAAGTGAAAATTATGGCACTCCGAAGACTCATAAAGCATTTACAATGCCTCGACCGGGGCAGCGGCGGTTAGTTACATTTTTTATTGTCACTGGGCTCGGGAGTTGCCGTAACCCATTTGCCGTCTGCCTGCCATAAAACTAGCGTGGCTCGCATTACGGGCCAGTCTAAGTCGCAGTCCCGAGATCCGTATTTGGGACCTAGAAAAATACCAACTTGCCCCCCGCTGAGTGTGTGCATAAGTTTTAATCTGCCTTCGTTACAATCAGCTGGATCCTGCACTTTCTCGCAGTAAAAAGTGGGTAATAATATCTAGGAGTAGAGTGAAGAAGGAATGCGCTATACAAGACATTAGGAAACAGACATTATCAAAGAATGTGACTCCGAAATTATCAGAAACATAAGAGTCCGTTCAAATTTATTAATGACATTTGTATATAATATATACACCATAAGTCATAATAACTAACATCCCGTAAATTCATTTTCTTCTTGTGTCTTTAGTAAAAACAAAGGTTTATTGATTACGTATTTTATTTTCAGTCTTAATTAGTAACTAGCAATTTTCACATGTATTTAAAGTATCTTAGAAACTTTTTTAAGAATGGGTACTATTATCTTTTACCAGGGTTAGTAATGTAGCAATGTGGGTAACCAACTCCACCGCCTAGTCAAGGAGCTTCTTCCGAAATGTTTTCCCAAAAAAGGAAAGTGCATAACAATTCGAGGGGGGCGCACTCTGAGCAGTAAATAAAATAAAAAGGCAAAGTGCGGCCAAGAGATAACAAAAGTAAGCGAAGAATTGATTAAAATTTATGCTCCCCACTCACACGCTGCCACTTCCACACCCGAAGACAGGCGGCACATGTGCTCTATAAAGATATATCTCCCCGACAGCCATCCGCCTTTATCGAAATCTGCCCTGCGCCTGGTGGGATGCACTGGGCGCGCTGAACAACATTTTGATTAAATTATTTTAATGGCAAGTGCGAGATATATGGTAAATATATGCGCCGGATCTATCGCCAGCTCATCTTGGGCCTCCGGCGCAGCAGCCAATTAATTCAGCTGCGAACTATTAAAGCACACACTGGGCGCTCATAAATCGAGGCATGAGTTGGGGTGGTGGAGCTCTACCAGCGGCAAAAACAGAGTCAGGACCAGATTCAGATTCCGATTCGGATTCGGGTTCGGGGGTCATGGAGCAGCAGGAGCTGGAGTATCAGCGGAGAACATCATGAACCAATTCTCCGGAGTGAGCTGCAAATGAATGAATATTTCATAGAC